GATTCAATTGTGTAGTAGACGGATTTGAGAAATGTCAGAATGCAGATTTAGAGACTGCTGGGGAAGTTCTTTCTCCATGACAGAGCTCAGGATTCCAGCAGCACACAAGACCTGACCAAGCGCCTACTCTTTCTGCCTCACGAGGTTGCAGACGCGAGGGGATGGAGAGGAGCAGACGGAATGCTGGCATATTCCACTGCTAGCTGGAAAGAAAGAGCTCACACAGAAGGCATGGGGCACAGTCACACTGTCTTCCTGTCTCCAGCAGCAGGAGACATTTACTAAGCACCCACTGAGTACCCGCCCAGTACCAAGTACGCAGACACACAAACGCCCAGGCAGCTCTGGGTGACAGGGCTAAAGACAGATGCACGAGAAAACACCAGAAGAACTCCACTGAGGAAGACATGAGCTTGGTTTCTACGCCCAAGAATAGATAGGTGATACATCCTATCACCCTGGTCTCAGTGAAACCCTAAGTCCTGAGATACTTCCCAATGAGGAGTGAAGACCCTTGGTCTAGGGCAAGTCCACAAGGAACCATGAGCTACTTTTCGCTCCAAGCACACCCCTGAGCACAAGCCCATAGAGTAAGATAAACAATGAACACCAGAGGGGAGAGGCGAGGAGGCCAGAACTCCTCACACACTCTCCATTTTTCTTGCTCTCACTGGATGTGTTCCCATCTGGCATTCCAAGGTCTGCGCCTTTACTCAGATGTGAGCTCTCAGGTATGGCACCAAAGGGCTCCGAGAGCCCCTGCTCCAATCCTGGAAGGTCCTGGTGCCCTCTCATCACTGTTCACTCTGGCCCGGCACAGAGCCCTAGGTTTACTTCAGTGCAGCCCAGAATGCTCTGACCCTGGTTTTGGTACCTCTGCACTGGGTTCAGGTCTTCCATTTTAGGACACATTAGGCATCCTCTCTTCCGGCCCTTCTCTGCCCTGACTTTTCCCTAGGTCCTTTGAAAATTTTATGCACATTAACAAGCATTCTTCACAAAGCGTTTGTACCTTCAAGCATTTTTAATTTTTTAAATTTTCAGATTAATGTGAGGGTACACTAGAGTAGGTTAAATTGTATGCATTTGGAAGGTAAAGTCCAAGTTGTTTCCTTCACCCATGAAATGTGCCATACACCCGTCCATTGTTCCCTTTGGATGGGAACTGGCCGAGCCCTCTCCTCTCCCCCCTTCTTGATTGAGTTTTTATCTCAGGTGAGCAGTAGTTATTAATCTACTAGTTTCAACTTACTATTGAGCACACGTGATGCTTGCTTTTCCATTCCGTGATACTTAAGAGTGTTCTCTAAATCCATTCAGGTTGTTAGGGAAGTGCAAAATCTCCATCTTTTCACAGCTGGGTAGTATTCCATTGTTTACATATGCCACAGTTTATTAATCGTCTTGTGTGTTGAAGGGCATTTGGGCTGTTTTCACATCTTTGCAATTGTGAATTGGTCCTCCATAAATATTTGAGAGCAAATGTCTTTATGGCAACATCTGTCAGGCATTTTATAAATGTTTTCTCCTCACACTCACCATTAGGGAAGATTCACTTGAGGTCCTCTGTCTACTAAGGGATAGGGCTGGAGGGGTCCCAAGTCCATGCCCTGCCCACTGTGCTGCTGGGTCCCTCATAGCCAGCCACCCTTGCCCCCGTCTGACATCACCGATCACCAGGGGATCCCTCAGTTTATCCCCCACCTCTGCTCCGCCCCACCTAGTCCACAGCAGCACCTCACCTCTGCTCGCGCTCACCTTCATGGCTAGGTCCTGAATAAAATGTTGCAATTACCCTGTGGCTGCCTGGGACACTCTCGGGACTACTGCTGTAAATATAACTCAGACAGTTCCACCTCCTCTCTCCAAAAACGCTGCTTAGCATAGGGGCTTTCCTTCACAAAGGTGCTTGTGGGCTCTGGACAAGGGCCATTTGTGCTAATCTAGGACTGTTCCAGGAAACACATGCACCGAACCTTCTCCCTGCCTCCCCCTCTCAGGGCTGACCTCCGCTTGGAGGGCTGCAGGATCTGACCTGCCTCCCCTTGCCTTACCTGCTGGGTTCCCCTGCAGATGTTATATGCATGCCACCCGTGTGTCTCGCTCTTGTTTTCCTGTTGGCGGCCAGTGATGTGACATTTTCAGTTGTTCACTGGGACAGTTTCTCTTTATTTTATAGCTATCTGCTCAGCATTTTGTGCTTTGGGGATAGTTGAAATTTAAGAGATAAATTAAAAATAGTGGGCATTATAAGGATACCTAAGGATTCAGAGAGAAGAAGAAGAGACCTACATAAAGAATGAACATTCTCAGTGCCAGGGAATACAGGAGATGACCAACCTGGACGCAAAGCACTTTTTAAATACCAACTAGAATTCCCTACGCTAAATTGTTTAAATCCAGGCTTTTAATTTGTATTCCAATTGTGGTGTAAGTACAGTCATGTTCCCCATTTTATGGCTAGGAGCCAGAAGGTGGGGGCTCACAGAGGGTAAGCACCTCACTCAAGGTCACATAGCATAGCTGGGATGTCCCCAGGTCAAAAACCAAAGCCTATCCTCTTAAACACTGTCCCACACTCACTCCCTGGAAAATGAATTTAGGATTCCACATGATTTAGATTCCACATGATAGGAGAGCTGCCCCCCCAGGCCACGTATGGCCTGAAGGTACATAACAGTCTCTAGGAGACCAGGCCTATCAAACCTGTGCCCACCTGATACCTGCCCCAAACCAAACACAAACCAGGTCTGTAACATCACAGTCCACTGGAAACTCAGAAAACACAATTTTTTTCAAAGTACAATATTTTATTTACACAGATGAGTGGAGGTCAGACATGAATATGGTTCGTAATCACATTTATACTACGTACAACATCACGTGGTTGTCCTGACCACAGGTGGAAGCGGGGGAGATTAGCCTTGGGAAGAGACAACGAACATGTCCACCATTTGGAAATCATCTAAATTTAGCTCAGGGAATGATTTTTTTTCCTCAATGATGTACTCTCCAAAGTACAGCCAGTGCTTCCCTTACAGGCCCAATGGCAGCACCAAGTTTCTGAGTTTCATCTGGGCTTCCAAGCTTTTGGCCTATGTCCTTCCATCCCAAGGTTTCCACGGCAACAAAACAATGATCAACTTGCCTCTGACACTCCCTTCATCCCAAATCTTTCTTTTGCTCCCCTTTTCTTCCTACCTCCCAAGTATCCCTGGGATACACGGGGCCACGCAGAACAGGGCAGGGGGTGCTGACTTCTTCCTCTGGGAGGACTGGTGAAAGCCTCCCAGCATCTTCTCCACCACCGTGCAACTGCTAGCCCCGTCTAATAGGAATGCTGCACGTCCCTCCGGAACCACCTGACCCCTCTGTGTACAGTACTTTCATCCCCTCAGTCTATTCACAGGTCTCAAGCACACCCTCAGATACCCAGGAGGATGTCACCAAACTGTGGTGACCGCAGGGTCATTAACAGCCCCTGGGGAGAGAGGAACCCAGGGCCCCTCTTATCTTCCTCTTGATTCTGGGAGCTCCACCTGATTGAGGCTGCAAATAGAAAACAGAGATTTGTCTCCCCATTCACTGTCTGACTGGACCTCCTCTTGTCCCTCTGCCTCTGATCATCAGAACTCTCGCCTGAGGGATGAGGTGATGTGCCTCCTGTGGACACTGGCAAGTCATAAAACTTCCTCTTCAGAGAGGACCTGAATCACCCAGGGCACCTGATATTCACACTGTAGACCCTGGTACTCGTTGGCTCAAAGTTTTCCAGACAGAGCTTCTATGACAGAAGAGACAGGCTTTCTAAAATAAATGAGTAATGACCTCTGCCTCTGTCCCCTGGGTCCAGGTTCTGCTCATGTCCTTGGACAGTGAGAGTCTCATCTCCCCGTAGTAGCCCCTGCTCTTGAATCATCTACTTGCTGTCTCACTTACCACTAACGGGCAAATTCTATTCCTTACCCGAGACCCATATTCCCACAGAGTTAGACGCCAGTTTGAAATCTGACTGCCTCTCCCTCCTTACCAGCCAGAGCAGGAGCTCTGGAAGCAGAAAAGGTCTGGGGATCCACTGAACAAATCCATGTGTTCCAGGAAGCCTGCAGACTCTCCCATACCACTAATGGCCCAAGTTCAGCCCAGAGGCCACGAGGGCATGGGCGTGAGGCAAACAGAACACCAGCGCCATAACGAAACAAGTGGTAGGGACTAAGACCACATTAACAGCGTCCTGTGGCAGCAATTCAGAAGGTCTCTTGGGTATAAGTGGAAATGGCAAAATTGAACTGGGAAAACTTTTCCCAATAAAATCCATGCTTGGGCTGCTCTCGGGAGTAACAGGGTAGAATCCCAGCCAGCCAAGGCAGGGGCCATCTCAGAGCAAACACTTAATTCAGGATGGGCCTTCCGCTCCTTCTTGACTAGAACTGGCACCGGGTGTGTGCCTCCTCCTAGCGAGTGTGCCCTGGGTGGGAGGCCATCTGGGGGTCCTGGCAGCAAGTATGACTTCCCTGATTGCTCTCAGCGTGGCAAGCTGCAAGTCTGATGATTCTGAAGAAACAAGTGTCCTGCCATGATCTGGGTCCCTATCACAAACCTGAGAAAGGATTTTGCAGGGCTTGAAAGGACTGACACCCATCACTCTAGCTCTCTGACACAGAGATCAACTTACAGCCATCTTTCTTCAGAAACATTTTTTTTCTTAAATCACTTTCTTCTACAAGCCCTCAGCAATTGATTTTATATGTTTTGGCTGCAAGAAGTTTCACTGACACTGCAGTTCCAGGCACCACCCATGGCTCGTGAGGAGCTTTGCCCTCAGCCACTGAGCCTGGCACCTACACCTGGGACACGTGCCACCCACTGCCTTTCAGTGGATTTTATCTGGTGCCACAGGCAGAGTCAGTGCCATTTTTTCACTTGCAGATCAAGAGCTCGCCTGGTCTGACAGCTCCCAGGCCTGAAAAACATTAAGAAGACAGGGACGGCCTTGATAGAAACAGTGAGGCCTTCACATGGAGGCAAAGTCTTAAAGGTTTGAGCACCATCTTCTGGTCAGCTTTTGGCTTCTGTGGCTGACTCTCCTTTAAAAATTTCATTTTGTTCAGGGTGAGAAGAGCTCTGACTTGTCAAGCTCAAGCGATCTGCATATCAACAAGAGAACAGGACTGCAGGCAGAGGCAGCTAGACCTCGCTGTGGACACCATCAGGCTGCCTGCACAAAGCCAGGCCGATGGCGGCCAGAGAACACGCTGGTCAGCGTTCAGGTTCTGCTGCTCTTCTAGCAGTGAATGACCTGAGTGTGTGGCAGCAATGAAAGCTCCAACCATAACTGAATTTGATCCCCTGCCTCTGTACATGGCATTATGTGGTGTGCTTGGAAAGAAGGGGTGAGCCTATCTCCGCTAGTGCGGCTGGAGGGTAAGCGATCAAATCGGGCCTTCCCTCTGCAAGGGGTCAAGCCACACAATGTGGCAGGGAGCCCTGCCTGGTGTGTAAACACTGCACCGGCAAATTTCAACCTTTTGGCATCAAAGGGAAAGAAGATAAATGCTAGTCATTCTCTCCAAACGGCAGGAACCCATATCCACCTAATTGCACTTCATAATGGATTCCACAAACCATTAATTATCAGATTATATTTTAGGAACTAAAGATAAAAAAGCTTTGTGAAATTCAGACTCTAAAAGCAGTCCTGTCCTGCAGTAAGTGTGGCAGCCTGGGGGGCTTAGCCAACAGGCCACTCTCATGGCCTGGAAACCAGTGGCAGAGATGAAGGCAAGGGTGATTGCAGTTGCTCCTCTGTGCGGACAGGACTGCCTGCCTGGTGATGCTGCAGCAGTTTCATCACCGGCTCCAGAGGGAGCAAGCCAAGCCTGCAAGTTGGGCAGAAGTTTTAGCCTTTGTTAGAGGAAGAAGATGAGGATAATATGGCAGAGCTGTAAAAATCAGCCCTCAGGTAACCAACACCACGAAGAATGTCCTGGAAAGGTATATTCCTTGCTGTTGAATACCTCACATTAAATGCTTCCAGGACAAACACTGCACAGGCTCTGTTTTGGGAAAGGTTGACTACTGGCCAGGTGGGACTAGACCTGGAAATGAGGGTTTTCTGCCCTGTTAACATGGGTACCCGTCCCACTCCCACCACTAGGGTGCTGGCTGTGGCCATGGAGGCAGGGGATCCAAGCAGAGAGGAGGACGACAGGAGTCAGGAAGGGGTGTAGTGTGCTCACAGCTGAGGTCCCTGGATGCCCTGTGGGTGCTTCTTTCATTTTTTAGTGGCCTGAGGCACCAGCAGTGTTTGTGCTCCACTCTGCACATCGCGCACTCCTTGGTTGTGCTGGTTACCAGCTCCCATCCCAGAATTCTTTCTGTTTCAGAAGCTGTACTTTCCTTGGGATGGACAGTGTCAGCAAGGCCAAAGCAGCAGGCCTGTGGGGAAGAAGGCCTGTCTGCTATGAAGGACGGTGGTGCTGGTGTCGACGTTTCCCAAGTGAGATGGTTTTGACTGCTGCCAAGCTAAGATGCTCACCACTCAGGATGGCCAGGGACAGAAGACAAAGAGCAAGTTGTGGAGCCTCCTCCCTGGTATGAAGGCAAGAACTCCTCCAACGGAAGAGCAGCCACTCACTTGGCCTCACCACAGATCAGAGTCACAGTACCATCCAGCAAATCCTCTACAGTCACCGCCACAAGCTCAGAGCTGGTCTGAGATGTCTGAGAATCTGGCAATGTCACAAATACCTGTGACCCAGCAAGCTGGGTCTCCTCCAAAGTGATCACCTGCTCTGCTGGGGCCCCTGGCTCTGAGGCTTGGATCACCTGAAAGGAAAAGACCATGAGGCTGCTCTGGGCAGTGTTCACAGTTAGCTCCCCAGAATTTACATGGTTTTCATCTCATGCTGTAATGATGATATTTATGTTTTCACCTGAGGAGAGCAATTACATGCGCCTAATGGGAAGAGGCAAGTCTACTACACCAGTGATGCAAAAGACAAGGCAGGCAAACAATTTAAATAACTCTGTGCACTAAATTGCTGTAATTTCACTCAGTACGCCATCTCGGGGTGCCCGGACTCTATGATTACACACCCCTGAACATGGGCTCAGTTTCTCACACTGGGTATTCCTGTCTGGAGGATGACACTGTAGAAGTGCGTGCCTGGGAGAGGAATGCTGCTGAGGGTGGCTGGTCTGGTGCCTGAAACGTGGGAATGGGGGGGGATTTACCAGAAGCCCAGGCTTGCCACGGGTGGGATCTCTGGACCTCTATCAGGATGAGAGCCTTCCCTGAAGGATACGAGGTATAGCGATTAGGCGGAAGAGTGGATGATCTGCGGTGTCTGTTGGCCCATTCACTGGCTCCCAGCCAGCAGGGCAGGCACCCCACGCCCTTCACTTCCTCCCCTTGCACACCTGCAGCATCTGTTCCAGGTAACCTTCCCAGCGCAAGGAGAACTACTCTGCGGTTAAGCACACCCTATTCCTGCCTGAACCTCCAAGTTGATGCTTCTGACCTATGGACCCCAGAGCAGCTTGATGCCTTTGATATCTTCAAACCAGCGTGCCCTCAGAGGGAGCAGACATCTTGCTCTTGAGAACTAGCCGAGAGTGCAAAGCTGGCACAAGTGAGGAAGCCAAGGTCAGCACCTTCTTGGTGCTACCGGAGCAAGGAGAGCAACTGGGAGGTTCAGTCAATAATTATTCAGGATGTAGTTTTTCAAACTGACATTTTTTTTTTTTCCTTTTTAGGAATGGAACCCCCCTGCCCCACTTTTTCCCCTGAAGGACATATTCCTAATACATAAGAACATTAATAAATGAAAAAGATAAAGAGATAAGAGCAGGGCAGCACTGGTGATTTGGCAGCAGGAGTGTCACTGGGGTCCTGCCCACCTGACAACCCCTCTGCTGCCAGAGGCCTTTATAAACATAGTTTATCACAGACTGATCGGTGGAGCCAGACGGTGGGATGGTCCAACAGAGTGAAACCTCTATCGGTTTCTAGCTCCTCTCCAGGAAACCACACGTCACTGACAATCTATAGGCCTGAGTTTCTTTCCTTTTTCTGCCCACTCCCTCCGGAGAAGACAGGAAGAAGAGTAAAAGAGGACCAGGGAAACAAAAAGAGGCTGGATCAAGTTCACTCTGAAGCACTGAGAGGTGGGCTCCTCCCCAAGGTAAAGGTGAGGCCTAGACCTGTACAAGTGTGTACCACGTCCAACCCAGAGGACCTGCACAGGTGTTCACCTGTACATGGTCCCTGCCCAACAGTGAGTGATCTGCCTTCTCCAGGGTATCCTACAACTCTCACCCATCCCAAAGCTTTCCTCAGAAGGCAGGTGAGTGTGTGAACTGAAATGAAGAAAGCAGATTGTTCCTCCTTTTGGAAATTCTTGTTCCAGGCTCCCACTACCTAGGGGTCATTTCACATGTGGCTACCAGAAGGCTGATTTTCTGTCTTGTTTGGTGAGAGGCCAAGAGAGACTCTCTAAGACGTCCCCAAAGAGTAAGACTGGTGTAACAGAGCCACCTTGAGAAAGCCTTAGGAGCTCCGTGCTAGCGCCCTGAGTAGCTGAGGCCCCAGAATCACCTGCACCATCTGTGAGGCCGCTGCCTGGGTCTCTGTGCCCACCACCTTTGGGTGCTCAGATTCCAAGTGACTGTCAAGCTGGGCCTGGGAGGTGAAGAGCTCCCCACACAGCTCGCAGGGAAAGGTGCTCTCCGACTGCTTGAAGTGCTCCGTGGTGACGTGGTGCTGCAGCGCTCCGGGGAAGCGGAAGGTGGCTGCACAGTACAAGCACCTGAATGGCTGGGACCCTGCAGGAGGGAGAGACAGAAGGCATGGGCTATGGTGGAATGACCGAGAGAGAGCAGAGGAGAGAGAGGTGAGAGGAAGCAGAACGGGATCATGGTGGACAGGCAGATCCTGGTTTTGTGGGACCTAAAGCTTGTATAATATAACTGGGGGGAGGACTTCTTTAAGACAAATAATATAAAATGACCAATTCAGAACTAGGAGCAGAGCCT